TTTCTCAGTGAGTGGCACGATGTTGACAGACAAAAGTACTGCAAACTGGGAATATTTCACGGCCGAGATACGCTCAAAACGACTGAACGTCGCCTCCGCAAACAGCGCACTCCAGGCAACATTTATACAACTGTAACAGCAATTGCGATACTTCCAGTACAGTCTCACTCAGGACGCTACAGGCAGAAGTACTGAACTAAAAAGATACGAACAAAAAGCCTCTACATTATCGCTTCCCTCGCATTTCTCTTCTGCTTATCACTCGCCAATTGCATCTCCCCACCCAAGCCATTACTTACTATTTCAGCAAATATTTAATTTTTACTGCATAAAGTTAGTCGAAATGCAAAAAAATTATCCGAAAATGACTGTCAATACAGGTAAGCAGCTTACGATCAAACGGTCGGGTGTACTTACGCTCAGCGTATGAAAGCATTCCAATATCATTAACACGGAACTCCTAACCGATCATCAGGAAGGTTTTGTCATTCCTGGCCTTAGTTTGAAAGAAAAATTTTACATAAAATGAGAAAAAATCTTCGGAGAAAAAACGAAAGATTTGGCCCAGTAATGTGAAGGATGTCATCTCTAAATCTCATGCCCTCCCCAAAATCTGTGAGTGCATAAACTGCCACAGGGATCTCTAAACTTACACATGCCGATAAATTGAAATCGTGATAATGAGCCGGCCTCACAGTGCCACCGGTAACGAACTTTGTTTATTCTATTTTGTTCGGGAAAGACCCACATGCCCTAATAGTCCGAGGCTTTGGTGGGGGAGGGTGGGGAAGTGGGTTTGTCCAGCAGAAGCAGGCGTTTTCGTCGGATAAGCAGCCACCATTCACGGAATTCAAAAGTGAATTCATGCCTAAAACAGATGTTAGCAAGACCATTGAGAAGTAGCCCCAATGACCTCAGCATAAACCCACGTAACTTAGCAAAGAAGAAACATACCTGTAAAATGCATCATACATAAAAAGACCAATGAGTAACTGTAATCCAGTAATGTAAGAAAATGACTGATTGGCGCTTCCCCATGGAAACCACAAAAGCAAGAAG